GTCTTCAATTTCAGCTGTGAGGCAGAGATGTACACTGCGGCCATGGCCGCTTAGCAGCTTCTGTGAGGATCTAGGATCGAGCTCAGAAAAGAGAGTTTGAATTGAATGATTCACCTGGGTACAACACGAGGTTATATATAGGCTCGACACAAGGCAGGTAACCCAGGTGTTGCGCGAATGTTCTGAGGGTCGCGAAGCGTCCCGAACAGAACCTTCCCGAACTCAGTAGAGAGCAATTCGGTGGCAACCGAAAAGGCTTGAGTTCGGTACACGTAACCTGGTTCGGTGCTATAACTAAAATAAAATATAGGAATGCACCTAACCTAGGAAATCAAACATATCTATGCATGATAAATAAAACCCAAGCTAGATATAGCATAATAAAGTCTAGGCAAGCTAGCAAAGCCAGCATAAGCCGTCATACTCTTACACGTCCCCCCCTCAAAGCTGGGTGGCGTGAGATACACCCTGCTTGACAAGATAGTCCTTGAGAGCACGGCGTGCGTTGACCATATCAGCTTCTGCAACCCAACTGTCCTTAGTGGGGTCATATCCCTTCCATCGTATCAGGAACTCGAGGGCCTTGCCGCCGCGGCGCCGATGAGTGAGAACGCGCTCGATCTCGTACTCGGGTTCATCCTGTATGAGAATAGGTGGTGGTGGCGGTAGCTGCCGTCCCTGGAACCGCTGGTTTGGGTCCTTGTAGGACTTCAGTAGCTGAACATGGAAAGCGTTGTGAAGCTTCCATGTATCTGGTAAGCGCAAGCGGAATGTAACTGGTGTCACCTGTGCCTCCACGAGAAATGGACCACAGAAGCGAGGCCGGAGCTTGGATGGGAGGTGAGACAGGTTCAAGTTGCGCGTGTCAAGAAGCACCTGATCTCCGACTGCTATTGAGTGATCTCGTTGCTGACGATCGGCATACTGCTTCTGGGAGGTCTGCATCGTGGTGAGTCGTCGCTGAGTCTTCTCCCATAGCCGCTGCATGGTGGTGACGAAGCCATGTGTGGCTTGGACGTGTGCCAGTGTGGTTGGCTGCTGTGGTGTGAGTGGTTCCCGTCCGTAACACAGGAAGAAAGGAGTTTTCCCTGCTGCCGCATGTGATGCGTTGTTGTAAGCAAACTCTAGGGTTGGTAACTGTGTGTCCCAGTGGCTGACGTCGTCCTTGCAAGCTGTGCGCAGTAACTGTTCAACCACCTGATTGAGTCGCTCTGTCTGTCCGTCAGTTTGTGGGTGGTATGCTGAGGACATCGCAAGTTTAGTCCCCAATAATCCCATGAGCTCCTTCCAGAACTTACTCGTGAATTTGGGGTCTCTGTCTGAGATGAGTGTAGCGGGGATGTCGTGGATGGTGATGATGCGGTCGAAGAAGAGGCGAGCAATTCCTTCAGCTGTAGGTGTGGCGTTGGTCGGAATGAAGTGACCCGTTTTGGAGAACTTGTCGATCACCACGAGTATAGCATCATGCCCTCGTGAGGTCGAAGGAAGTCCCGTTATGAAGTCGAGGCTAACGACCTGCCATGGCTGCTCCGGTACGGGTAGTGGCTGAAGTAACCCTGCTTTTTTCTGCTTGCTGCTCTTCATCCGCTAGCACGTGTCGCATGAGGTGACGAACTGCTGCACGTCTGCTGCCATCCGGGGCCAGTAGTAATACTTTGCTATCCCTGCTAACGTCTTGTTGCTCTCCGAAATGTCCCGCGTAAGGTACGTCGTGAAACTCCTCCAATAGGATCTGTCGGAGCGGGGCATAGTTCGGTACCCAAATCTTTCCTGAACCCTTCCTTATAGCTAAGTCTTTCTCCCACTGTAACAGCTTCTTAGTCTGTGCTGTAGCGATCTCTGCGTCCATGGAGTACCCATGTTGGAATAGACCCTTGAGCAGAGGGTTCATCCCGTCGAGCTGGATGCCTGCTACATGTCCAGGGCGGCTTAATGCGTCTGCTTTGTTGTGTAGCCCGGGCTTGTAGACGATGTCGTAGTGGAAGTGAGTTTCCATGAAGTCCATCCACCGCACCTGTCGTCGCGAGAGTGTCGGCTGTTACTTCAGGTATTTGAGACTGCAGTGGTCAGTATAGACTGTAGTCTTGGCTCCCTCTAGGTAACACCTCCACGCCTTGAAGGCTATGACTATAGCTAAGGCTTCCTTGTCGTGGATGGGGTAGTTCAGTTCTGCTCCGTGTAGTTTCTTACTGAGGTAGGCGATAGGCTGTAAACCGTTCCCGTGATCCTGCATCAGTACTGCTCCAACTGCCTGGTCACTAGCGTCTGCTTCAACGACGTATTCCTTGTCTGGATCTGGTAGGATGAGTACTGGCGCTGTAGTCAGTGCTGTCTGTAACTCCTCCATGGCTTGCTGATGAGGAGTATCCCATTTCTAGGGCGTATCCTTTTTCAGTAGGTCGGTCAGTGGCGCTGCTATCTTAGCGTACTGTGGTACGAACCTATTGTAGTAGTTGGCGAAGCCTAGGAACTGCTGCAACTCCTTCACGTTCGCCGGTACTTTCCATTTCTTGACGGCTTCGATCTTTTGCGGGTCCACGTGTACGCCCTCGGCACTCACCATGTGCCTGAGAAACTGCACCTTCTTTAGTGCGAAGTCGCTCTTCGACAGCTTCACGTAGAACTTGTTTTTCCGCAGGATCTCGAACACCTTCCGCAGATACTCCACGTGCTCCTTCATGTTCTTTGAGTAGATAAGAATGTCGTCCAGGCATACCACTACGCACTCATCCAGCAGGGGCCGTAAGATGTGATTCATCTCCGCCTGAAATGTTGCTGGTGCGTTGCAGAGTCGGAACGGCATCACCAAGTATTCGTAGGAGCCGTATCTGGTACAAAACGCCGTCTTGTGGATCAAGTTGTCCGCCAGTGCCTGGAGGCGTCGCCCGTTGCAGATCACCTCAACTACAACATCTTCATGGACGTGGTCGCCAAGTCGGTCGGTGGATTGTTGGAGGCCAACGTATTCACCGACGAGGCCGCCTCGTCCTCTAGCTCTTACGGCTCCAACCGAACTGCTGAGCGGAAGAGAAGGTCTGGTCTTCGCAGGCGGAGATACCACATTCTGCTGGAGAACCTGGAAGGCATGGGAGAGGAGGAATTTGGGGACTTGTTTCGGATAAACCGTGCCATCCTCGAATACATTGTCGCCGGGATGGCGCACTACATGCAGCCATACGTGGACACGTACCTCATCATGCACGAGGTAGCATGCCTGGTCGCTATCAAATACCTGGCCAGCGGTATGTCATTCGTAGACTTGTCCGCCGTATTCGGCCTGTCCAAGATCCTGTGCCATATGCTTGTTGACACGCTGCTCATGCACTTCCCATCCGTCTTCAAGCAGCAGTAGGTCCACTTCCCGAGCCGTGGCAACCTCGATGAGATGGCCGAGGAGTTCCGTGCCATCAAGGGGGTACCTGCAGTAGTGGGGGCTATAGACGGCACACACATTCCGATGAAAGGAATGGAGGGGCATAGGCAAGAGTACTACACGCGGAAGTCATGTTACGCCGTCCAACTGCATATCACATGCAACGCGCGAGGCATCATACAGGACTACTTGATCGGATACCCGGGCACTGCGCACGATCAGAGAGTGTTCATGAACAGCGCGTTACACGAAAGGTTGCACAAAGGCGACATAGCGCCATACCAAATAGTGGGAGATGTTGCCTACCCACTCAGAAATTTCTGCCTGATCCCCCTACATGCGCCCCATGAGGGCCGAATGGACGACTGGGAGCAGTGCTTCAACTACTGCCAAAGCGCTGGGCGCATGGCCATAGAGTGGTGCATCGGCGCCTTCAAAGGCCAGTGGCGTCTATTCGCAGGCCGCAATGACTGCAAGCTCTGGCGCATTCTTGCAGGGGTGTCTTGAGGCGTCATCCTGCACAACATGTGCGAAACGATGGGAACAGTTAGGCGCGTCAACGCGCCATGGGCCAACTTGCCCCGAAACCGGGATCCATGGTGGACTCGTGGTGCGATAGCAGAGTTCAAATGGGAGCCATGTGAAGCGTGCACGCAAGTGAATCTGCAGGAAAGGCGCAAGCGGCTGGGCGAGGCTCTTGAGTCCTCCTACCTCACTCGGCGTCGCCACGAACCCACACCTCATCGGCCGCATCAGGGTTAGGGGCGCTGTCGCCCGCCTGCCCGTGACGGAACCATCCGTCGTCGCCGCCTTCGGCAGCGTGCGATGCGGGCAGGTTGTCCGCGTCCACGGGGATGTCGTTGCGGGCTGGTGGTGAGGGCGCAGGCTGCTGCACGCGTTCGCGAGCAATACGCGCGTCCTACTCCATCCACGCGCGGACAAGGCCCTCGAGCCTGTTCATCGCGTCCGAGTGGCAGCCTTTGATTGTCTCGCACACCAGCTTGGCGGCGGCCATCGTTGCCGTCTCTGCCACCCGTGGGCGCTTCGATGTTGGCGTTCCCTGCGGAGGTGGAGCTGCACACACAATGGCCGGACGCGTGCAGTAGAAGGTGCATAGATTAGTACATCATGTATCCGGTATTACATGCATAAAGTTCTCCGCCCAAAGCATCTCATAAGATGCGCACCAGAGCTGCCGTAAACGCAAAAGGAACGCACCAGTGAAAGTCGGGGTAGATGTGCATGGCGCAGATGTGGACGGGACCGCGAAACCGCAAGGCACATTGACGTGTGCCGCACCACCATGTCGACAACGTGAGGGTTGCCCACTGCCTTGTTGTTCTGGAAGAGCTCCATGTACGGGTACCAGTGGGGCTTGCACACCGCCCCCTTGCCCGACGCCTTCTCCCCCTTCTTAATCTGCTTGAACATGTTGACACGATTGCGCCACTGCTACTGAAGCGCGTTCACGCCACGCACCCACCTGGGATTCTATTGCTCGAGGTGGCGGACGAGGCGGGCCCAGTACTGGGAGCCCTGTTTCCCGAGGAGGGGCCCGAACTCGTCCTTCATGAACCAACGTGCAGCGGCGAAGATAGTGTTCTCCGCGTAATAGGATGCAGGTTACAGGTCTTGGCAACGGCACGAGGAGGTTCACCGCCCTTCGTGGCAGTCTTGGTGCCGGCTGCGGCAGTAGCACGGCTGCGACGGGGAGCCGGGGCCGCAGGCTGGGCCTCCTCGGGAGCGTCATCATCGTCGTCGGCGTCCTCATCGGCGTCACCATCATCCTTGGAGGGGGACATGCTCTTGTCCTCCTCCTCGCCAGAGTCCGCGTCATTGTCGCAGGCGTCGTCACACTCGTTGTACTCCGAGTCCTCGGCGTCGTCATCGAAGGCTATCGAGAGTAAAGGGAAACGATGGGTGCACTATTGAGAAAGTTGGGTACAAGTAACAAAAAACTATACCCTACATTAGCTACCCCACTAAAGCCTACATATTATTATGACACAGTCATATAGTTTGACACACCCCCATAGGCAAAGTGTGGGAGAGCAAGGGGTCACAGGACCAGTCAAGAGAAGTAAAGCAAGCTCAGGGTGGATCACAACGTCACCACACACTCTGAGCACAAGCAAAGGGCCACAACGCCAGTTCACATGCAGAGGTATATATGCAACAACAACAGTACAGTCATCTCTACCTAGCAGAGCAAGCATGCAGGTATATATATAGATCACAGTACAAGCAAAGTCTACAGCAAGTGAGGAAACATGGGCACAAGGCCTAACAAAGTACAAAAACGCTGATGATCACCAGACGTAAGTGCCTTGGTGAATACATCAGCAGTGTTGGCCCGAGTGGCCACGTGAGCAAGACGAAGCTGACCACGCTGCTGAAACTCTCGAGCGAGGAAGTAACACAAAGCGATGTGCTTCGTTCTGTGCTCCAGTCTGTGCTCCTGACACAAGGCAATGGCGGCCTTGTTGTCTACGTACAGCACTGGAGGAGAACGAGGCCGCTCTCCAAGGTCAGTCAGCAGGTAGGTGAGCCAGCGTAGCTCCTGTGCAGCCATGGCTGTGGCGTAGATCTCAGCCTCACAACTGGAGCCGAGAACAGAGGACGAGCGTGTAGACCGCTAAGAAACAGAGCCAGAGCCAAGGCTAAAGGTGTAACCCTGTGACGACCGCTGCGTAGCCAGGTCGTCAACCCAAGAAGCGTACGAGTGCCCAGTTATGACAATTGGGCTCCGCCCTCCAAGCACGAGCCCCATGCCTGATGTACTGCACAAGTAGCGTAGTACCCTCTTAGCAGCATCCATGTGCACCTTTCGGTGCCGACCAGGAGCCACGTAGCGAGCCAGAAGGCCAAGATGGTACGCAAGGTCAGGTCGAGTGCAGGTCATCAGGTACATGAGGCAGCCCACTAGCTCTAGGTAAGGACCACTCGGCTCTACGGACTCGTCCAAAGGTGGAGCTGAGAGCGAGTGACCTGTAGCCAGAGGAGTGGCCTCTGCCGAGGACCAGGTAAAGCCGAAGCGCTGAAGGACCTGCTGCACCATGTGTGACTGAGTCAGTGTGATGGTGCGGCGTGCTCTGTCCCGGGTGATCTGCAAGCCAAGGGAACTGCGCAGCTCACCCAGGTCTGTGCACGTGTATCTCTTCTGCAGCTCCGACTTCACCAGGGCGAGAGCCTCAGTGTCAGCAGTGGCAAAGACCAAGTCGTCGACGTACACGAGAATGTAGAACGGCGGCAGCGAAGTGTCGGTGCGCAGAAACAGCGACGGGTCAGCAGTCGACGGAGTAAAACCAAGAGCAGCAAGAGTCGTCCTCAGTGTGTCGTGCCACTCACGTGGCGCCTGGCGGAGACCGTAGACCAGCCGCCGGAGGCTCCACTGGGTACCAGGAGGGAACGACCCAGTGAAGCCAGGAGGGCGGCGCAGCCAGATCTCCTCGTGCAGACTGCCCTGTAAGAAAGCTGTGCTGAAGTCAAGAGAGTGAAGCTCGTAGTCACGCTGAGTGGCAACGTGCAGCAGTACCCGAAGAGTGGTCATCTTCGGGGTGGGGGAGAAGGTCTGGAAGAAGTCGACTCCCTCTCGCTAACTGAAACCTCGAGCAACGTAACAAGCCTTGAAGACACGCGGAGAACCTGGCGGTCGCTTCACCCTGAAAATCCACATGCCACTGACGATGTTCGCCCCAGGAGGGGGAACCTCGTCGACGTAAGTGTCTGTGGACTTCGAGGATGCCATCTCTGCATCCATGGCTGTCTGCCACTGAGAGGAGTACTCACCCGCGATCGCCTCAGCGTAAGAGCGCGGGGTCGGGATTTCTGGAGCATCCGGGTCTCCCTCAGGGGCAAGCAGCATGGACACGAGATGAGGCGCAGCGGCTGCAAGACACTCAAGGTCCTCGTGCGTGTCCTCAAGGATGTCCATGCCAAGAGCACACTCACCCCCGACGGACGGAGGACAGACAGACTCAGAATCAGCAACAAGACTAGTGGCGTAGTCTAGACGACAGGCAGCAGCAAAGTCAACAAGCTCAGCGACTAAGGCAGACGGAGAAGCAGACTCAAACGACGGGTCAGTGACAACTGTGGCTAGCAGACGCATGACAGTAGGGTGAGCAGCACGGGTGCGGTCAGACTCAGGCTCAGGAACGGTAGGCAGAGAAGACGCAGGAGGGGACGGCAGGGGAACACGCTGCGGAGGAGAGGAAGGACGACGGACTACGAGGTGGGTGCCGGGGACAGCCGGCTGACGCGAACGAGGAACACGACTCCCTCTCTCCCCACATCAGTTGCGTGAGTGGTACGTTGGCCGTCAGGGTCGCGCTGCTGGAGCTAGGGGCCCTACTGCGGGAGGCATTAGCTACCCCACTAAAGCCTACATATTATTATGACACAGTCATATAATTTGACAAAGGCAGCATCGTCCACGACGCGGGATGATGCAACCCGGTCGGCATCACGGCGTCTGCGAGTTGGGACATCACGCGGGGCTTCGTATGAAGTGTCCCCCGCACCAGGCGCTCCTTTGGGCAACGGGCCGATGGGCTTGCGGCCGGCTGCGATCTGCTTGTTCATCCAAGCGATGTACGGGATCTCGTTGAGATCTCGCGGGCACACGTCAGTATAGCTCTTGCGCTTACGGGCCATGGCTACGGTGTGAGACGACGGTGGCTGGACTACGCAACAAGAAAGAGCAAGGTGGGGTTTGGAGAAGAAGAGATTGGTGAGGGGGTGCTGTCGGTGGGGTTGGAAAGGTGAGCACAGTCGGGCAGGGATGTGATCGTGAGGCTGGACCATCAATCATTTGTCTGCCCGGGCAGAGCGGTTTCTTTTCCCGCTCGAAAACGGGCCCAATTCGGGCGTCCAGATGCATGCGGTACTACAAGAGATTTCTACACTCGTGCGATGTTCAAAAGGTGACGGGGCCTCGTGTAACTCGTCCGCGACACCCACGCAATTCACGCCAATATATGCTGTTTTGGCGTGTCACAAAGTGATTGAGACACAAGTGTCCCCGCAGGAATGTACCCTTAACATGTTGGCCTACCACTACAGATGGCCTGAGATTTGGCGCAAGCAGAAAAACAGAAGAGCACTGAAAACACCTTCCCTTGTTAGGCCGTGCGCCGGGAAGCAGGAGAAAGTGCAGAAGAATTAGGATGATGACTATAACATACCGGTAACGTCAGGGTTAGAGAAAAACCATCGTTTACCCTGACACTATTGCTTACCCTCACAATCAGGGTCATGCCTGCTGACACTACTGTACTTCAAATCCAAAACGTTTGGAGGCACGGATTGCAAATGTAGGCTCCGGCTTGAATCTACACTAGAAACACCTAAGTATGTGTTCCTACGGCCTCATATCAGGCAACCTCGTATCAGATTCGCGTCGAATCACACTAAAACGCATCCAACCGCAATCGAACACACTGATACGTATTTCACCATGCGAAGCTGATACCGTATCGTCCTGGATATAAGCGCAAGCCTATTAAAAGCGCATGCGCTTATATCTGGAGCAATGCGCTTATGGCCGATCTTCAATTGTAAGCGCACCCCCTATCAAACCCTGTTTTATTATAAGTGCATGCATAATTTTTTATTTAAAACTTGCTAAACACAGTAACGAGTTTCAAAACTGAAGCGAGCCAAATTTCTTTATCGCTTCGTTTGACTCGCGAAGACCTCAGAAGCTGCGCGTCAGGTCAAGATGTGCTGGCATAGGGGCAAACTGACGTGTCTTTGCCCCTGTGGGCGTGTCCCGAAAAAGTGTAAGCAGTTTCGGGACCCTGTTTACGTAAAACAGTACGTACAGCTGCGCGGTACACACACGTTCCAGGTACGTACAGATGGCTCCGAAATAGTCAGATTCGAAAAAGCTGACAGAGTCTCGCGGCTGTATTTGCCGCGACCTGGTGTCCAGCTTTCGGCCTGTTACCAGGCCCACATTGCCGCGAATCCCATTTCCCTCGCGAAATGGGTATAACTTGTGGGGAAAACCCCCCATATTGACTGTCGCAGAGAAATTTGCGACAGCATGGAGTTCGCCCAAAGGAGATGCAGCGAATCTGGAGCTCTCGCTTTCTGTTCTTTCTGTTTCAGGTACGCTTTCTCTGAAGTCTGTACAAAGCGAAGTCCAAGTTGAGCATTGAGTCAGTAATTTTTTTACAGAGCTGCGCCGAGTCCAGACGAAAATGTTGGCTTTGGCGAAGACCCAGTTTGTGGTTACTTTTCACCTAATGAAATGTAAGTGTACTTTCGGGACACGCCCTCTGGGCCTGTGTGTTGGAAAAAAATCGGTAACGTGTGATTCTGATTCCTGGCGCTATAAAATTTCGCCTCGATTGGAATGGTACGACTAAGATGTACATTTTGATGCTATAAAATTATATATCTGTATCTGTCATTATATAAGCGCATGCGCTTATAAAAATGACTCAATTAGAAGCGCACCCCCCTAAAAAACTCTGCTTTATTATAAGAGAAGGTGCGCTTCTATCCGGGGTAATACGGTACGAGGTATGTCTGATACGAGGTGTAGGAACACGGCCTAAGAAACAACTAAAGCAACTATTAGGTGGACATCAGAGCCTTACTTGCAGGAGTACCTTGAAGCTGCTCACTGCTTAAGAGCTTCACACACCTGAAGCAATCGCGAACCAAGGAAAAAACAAGCAGAAATGGGCAGTGAGAAGTGATTGCGCACACAAAGCTCGCAGCCCAACCATACCAACTCTCCATGTAGACGTGCATGCTTCAAGTGCATCGAGTGTGCATAAGCTGTGGGTGCTTGGGCGGATTAAGAGCGGGAGTGGCACAGGGACGAGAAGATACGTGGATAGGGGGAGGCAGCAGCTCACATCAATGGGCATTTCGTGCAGCAAGGTGCCCAGGGCGTCCTCTAGCGCGCGCACCACAGGCACCTCCCCACCCGTCACAAACAGCAGCGACATGCCCGCTGCACTGCTGCTGCTGCTGCTGCTGCTGCTGCTGCTTGCAGTGGCCGTGGTGCTGGCAGAGGGTTCAGGGCGTTGCATGGCTGATGCTGCTGCTTGCCCCATGCACATGGCCACTCGCCTCAGGTACACGTCCTGCATGCAGGGGTTGCGGGTTGCAGGTGGGCGGATGGTGGGGGGGGGAAGGTGGGGTTGAAGAATAGTGGAGGGGTGGATGAGTGGGTCGGTGATGGGAGGAGTGGTGGAGTGGAGTGGGGTTGATGACTTCACAGCGAAAACAGATGAAGCTTTTCTTTGCCATGCCTTGTTGCGCAAGGAGGGATTGATGGAGGGAGGGAGGCAGGCAAGCAAGTAAGGAGGGAAAGGAGGGAGGGAGGGAGGGAGGGAGGGAGGGAGGGAGGGAGGGAGGGAGGGAGGGAGGGAGGGAGGGAGGGAGGGAGGGAGGGAGGGAGAGAGGGAGGGAGGGAGAGAGGGAGGGAGGGAGAGAGGGAGGGAGGGAGAGAGGGAGTGAGGGAGAGAGGGAGGGAGGGGGAAATGTAAGGTTGGACTGAGGGAGGCTGAGAGGCACATGCATGTAGCAAGTGGGTGGTTGAATGAATGGACGGATGGATGCATGGATGGAAGGAGGGAAGGATGGACGGACAGACGGATGGATGGAAGAAAATGCTTCGCCCCATATGCCGCCTGCGCTGCATAGTAGCGTGCATGTACCCATGCATGCACAGCATGAAGTACCTTGCGTGGGGGGAAGTCATAGTTAATGAGCAGCCGTGCGCCCAGAGGCGCCTCTCCCCCCCCATGGCCACACGGCAAGCACGCATCTGTCACCACCACCACCGGCACCACCGCTCCCTGGCCCCCCCTCCCTTCCTCCCCCCCGCTCTCCCCTCCCTCATCCCCCCGCTCTGCAACCTCTGCTGCCTGCCCTTCCCCCTCACCCACGCGGCTGTGCAGCAAAGGCGCATGGGTGGGGGGGGACAGGAAGGCAGGGGGTCCATGTGTGGCGTGGGGCCCATGCGAGGGAGGGGCAGCGGACGGCAGCGAGGGGGCAGGGTGGGGGGAAAAGGGCGGGGCGAGGGGCAGAGCGAGGGGTGGGGCGGGGCGGCCTCTGGAGAGAGCGACGGCGGCATGGAAGGCTGCCAGCACTGCCCGGCGCTGGGCGTCCGATTGGTCACTGTGCTGTGCGGGCCGGATAAAGAGAGAGAGAGAGAGAGAGAGAGAGAGAGAGAGAGAGAGAGAGAGAGAGAGAGAGAGAGAGAGAGAGATGTGGAGAGAGATGGATGTGGAGAGAAATGGATGTGGAGAGAAATGGAGACGCTACGAGAGGGCGGTGAATTTTGCAGCTAATATGCGTGTGCGCGCGACTGCCCACAACGAGAGCTGCAGTTTGGGGTGATTGGGATGGCGGGGACGTAAGAAGGAGGAGGGGAGAGGGGGGGTGGGTGGGAGGACGATGGGGAAGGCAAGGGGAACAACCAGTGGAGGAAGAGGTGGGGAAAGCGGGTGAGGGACGGAGAAAGGGTGGAGGACGAGAGGAGGGCAGGAGCAGTGGCGTGTGAGAGAGCGTACGAGGGAGGCGAGGAGGAAACGGTGGTGGAGAGGCGAGAGAGCAGCGAGCACGTGGTCCAGAGAGTCGCGCGTGCCACAGCAGATCACCACTGATACTGCCGCCACCCGTGGCGCAGCAGTGGGCGCGGAGGAGAGGGATGGGGAGGCGGATGGGGAGGGCGAGGGGGAGGGGGAGGGGGAGGAAGGAGGAATAGGAGGAGGATCGGGGGAGGAGGCAGCGGGGATGGTGCGGCTGATGAGGTGCAGCAGGTCCACGAGTGTTGCCTGTCATGCACAGCCGCACAGCCAGGCAATAGAAGCACGGGGTTAGCGAACCTCGTCAGCCATGCCCATGCCCATGCCCATGACCATGCCCATGCCCATGCCCATGCCCATGCCCATGCCGTGCCCATGCCGTGCCCATGCCATGACGCAAAAAATGGATAGATGCCACTCCTCCACACGCCTCTTTCCCCCTCCCACACGCCTCCCTCCCCCCTCCCCCCCAACCTCGCCCTAAGAGGTGGGCGCGCGCACCAGTTTGAAGCGCGGCTGGTCCACGGCCACGTAGTACTGCGTGCCCGCGCCCATGCTGCTCGAGCGCGCGCTCACGCCGCTCCGCGTCTCGCCCCCGTCCTCCGGGGAACGCGATGCAGCGGAGAGTGCGGGACCTTGGTGGGATCTGCAGCGCGGAGCCTTCCGCGCGGAATTCTTTCCGCGGAATGCGCAGCACGGCGGTGAGAACTCAGCGGCGCGCGCGCAGGGGTTAGAACGACCCCGCCACGGAGCGGAGCGGGGCACCGGATACGGGGAACGCGGGGCTCGCGCGGCTGTAACGCGGCTGGCGGGGAGAACGGCGGGAGAACGCAGTGAGCCCTCGACCCGTGACGGCGGGCGCAACAGCGCCGGGCGCGGGGCGGGGCAGCGCGCGGATGAGGCGCAAGGGCAGGGCGGAAGGACAGTGACGCATGGGGGAACGGTGCATGAATCGGTAACAGGTGTTGCGGGTCCAGTGTGATGGGGCCCGCGATCCTCCCTTAGGTGAGGCGAGGTGGATGGTAGATAAGGGAAGCTAGGTTCGATACGCGCGTGCCTCTGAAACCCGGGTTGCGGTTTCACAGATTTCACATAAATCTGAAACACAGATTTCACGGGTGCAGATGATTCGGGGGTTGGGGGGGGTTAAGGTTAAAGCCCAAGACCTGAATTACAAATCAAAAAGGGCAAACTGTGCACAGTTTGCCTTCCGAGCCCAATGAACACCTCCCGAGCCAGTGGGGTTACCAGAAAACGTCGCACCCCACAAAGACCGCGTCGTAGAGCAGAACGCTTCAACTTGGCGAGAGTTCCAACCACCCCTGCTGAAGGAAGAAGGGAACTGCCTATGCACAGTTTGCCTAGAAATGGTAATTCAGGAATGCCTGTGCGGCTACTAAGCGAGACTCTAAGCTTTTGCCCCTAGCACATTCCCACCTTCAACCCCGATGCAACACGAAATTTAGGAATGCGCTCGTCACAAGCGTAAAATGCTCGAATCCCATATTACGAGACGTCGCGCTAAACAGGATCAAGAGGCGTAGGGAGGAAATCCCCTCACATCGGCCTCCCCCTTGACGCACCGTCACCCTCGTTTCCCCCGTGGTCCCCGTCGCCATTGCCCTCCCATCGTCCTTACCCCTATCCCCTCCCATCGCTTCCTCGTCGTCGTGCCCCATTGCGGCGCTTCGTGCACCACTCCGCGACCACCCACTTTCAGCGTCGTCGTGTCCATGTAATCAATGTACAAAGATTAATCCATAGAGCAGTCTAGAAACATGGCCGAGATGGCCAGCATCCGCAGCGGAGCATGTGGAACACACGTTATTCCTTGTCCTCGCGGACAACCGCCAGCTGCCTTGGGAGACGCTCTATGCGATGGACGTCTATGGTGGTCGGAACGGGTTTCCCAAGAGCCAGGAGAATCTTAGGCCGGGGTGAATAGAGGGTGTACCGGTCCTGTCGAAGAGGAGGAAGCGGAGTTTCTGTGCTCGCTTGATGCTGGATGATATACGCTGACGCTTCTTGGCCGATTGGCGTTTGCCTCTCCACATATAAAATTTGAAGGCGATGAGGAACTGGGCTAAGATGAGCTGCAGTATCTCGAAGCTCGAGGAGGAGGAGTTGCGGTACCTGTGGTCACAGCGGCTGTTCCACAGCGTCTTGACTGCAGCTCCTACTAGTAAGCTCCATGGGGGGGACTGTCCAACCCGTGACTGTATCGGGAAGAAGATGTGTTCGGCGAGGGGGGTTTGTCCGAGGTGACGGTCAGCGACTGCGCAGAGCAGAGATGACGTTTCCGGCGGAGGCGCACTCGAAGAAGATATGCGGCAGTGTCTCGACAACAGCAGTAGGACACCGAGGGCAAATCCCTCGGTCGTCAAAATATTGGAAGTGTGAGCCAGAGGGAAGGGTTAGTGTGTATAGTCTGAAAAGGATATCCCGTTGGCGGCTCGGCTGGTCTTTGAGAAAGGGATCCTTAAGGCCAGGGAGAGGGGGAGGAGGAAGGGTGAGGTCACGGGTCCATCGACTGTGGTGAGTAAGCGGCTCTGTGGAGTAGAGGAGACGACGGATGTCGGCGACGCTGGGGATGCCGTCCTGTAGAAGTTCTACCCTAGCTCCTAACCCTGTCCCTGTATGAAGTGGCCCTGCGAGCCACCACTCCCTGACATAGACCTCAATGAGATCGTGTAAACGGAAGAGTCCGGTGTTTATTTGGGTGCGGTCGATGCGATGGTTGGGCGAGACGGGGTGGACAGTAGCCGAGACGGAAGAGGGGGGGATGAAGTCGACGACCTGGATAGCGAGGTGAGATATGGAGTAGTGGTCATCTGAAGGCATGAACCAATCTCCTGGGGAGGCAGAGGATGGGTGAGGGGATCGTAGGCCGGCCCACCAGGGAGGCTTGATAGCCTTGATGAGATCTGGGAGGAGGCGTGTGGCGTTGTAGTGAAATTCCTCCGGGAGTTGGGAGCAGAACTCTTGAGCCGAGATAGGGCTGACGTCGAAATTGGTGATTCGGACAACGTGTCCGATGCGGAGTTGTCGTGTGAGCAGGAATCGTTCATGTTGGCGGGTGCCGAAAGGTCGCTCGTCGGGTTTGAGGAGCAACCGGTTGAAGGCGAGAGGTTCGGTGAGGATGCATTGCATGCGTAGGGGGGGGCCATGGATAACCAGGGGAAGAGCGAGGAGGGTTTTGAGTTCATCCAGTGCCCGAGGGGGGATGAAGGGGGGAAGATAGTCTCGTTCAAGGATGGCTTTATGGGAGAGCAGGCCATGTAGCCCGAAGGGGAACGGTGTCAGGGTCCGTGTGACTTCCTCGGACGGAGTGGGTCCGAATCTGCGCAGGGCACGCTGGATAGTGAGGGCTTTGATTTGGGTAGATGGTGCGATCGCACCAACCCCGCCGTCTTGGGGTGAGTTCGAAAGGAGACCATTGGGGAAGAAGCGTTGTGCAAGGCCATCCTGTTTATGTTTTGAGGACGAGAGGAACTTTCCAACTGAAAAGTTAATTCGTTTGATGGTGTCCGGCGGTGCGGGCTGGAAGCGACCGGGGAAGGAGATGACCGAGTTCAGAAAGATCGAGGACAGAGACTTGCGGCATGTGACGGTGTCATGTAAGGCCGCCAGGAATTTGGCGGTGCTTTGTATGCGAGCAAGAGCTTTAGTCCAAGTAGTGGAGCCGGGGTGTAATCGCTCAACATATATTCCAAGGATGCGTTCTGCTTCGTCGGGAGCACGGACGGGTATCGGCCCAGCGTGCACGAGGTCAGTGGGGGGGATGTTGAAGGGAATAATGGAGCATTTGTTCCAGTTGGGGACCTCCCCGGACACAGATCCAAAGACCCCTAGGAGCATCACTACGAGGCTGAGCTCTGGGTCTGAGGTGAGGAAGAGAGTGACATCGTCCGCGTAGCATGCCATGAGGCGGCGCTGGGTAGGGGACAAAGCGAAGCCGGGGAGAAAGAGGGACATGTAGCGGTGGAAGATCTCGATGACACAGACAAAGAGCAGAGGTGCCAGAGGACAGCCCTGTCGGACGCCCGTACGGACGGGGAAGGTGGGGCCGAACATGTTGTTAACCGAGATTCGTGTGGACGTGTCGGAGTGCATTAGTCGTACCCAATGGATGAAGGGTGCAGGGAGACCGAGGACCGCTAAGGCTTGGAGGAGGAATGGTCTATCGACAAGGTCATAGGCCTTTCGAAAGTCCACCGTAAGAGCGAGGAGCGGGGCCGAGGAGTAGGCCGCACAGTCCATGATATCGAGGGTGTCATTGATTGTGTCTCCAATTTTCCTGTGTTTAATGAAGGCGGTTTGGGATGGGTGGATGAGCTGGGGGAGAGCTAGCTGAAGGCGGTTAGCAAGACACAGAGCGAGGACTTTGTAATCGGCGTTCATGAGGGTGATGGGGCGGAGGTTCTCCACTAGCGAGGAGTCTCCCCTCTTGGGGATAAGGACGGTGCGTCCGGTCAGCATCGACGGAGGGAGGCGAGAGAGCGGCTGTGGTGGGGACAGCAGGGAGTGGAAAGCCGGTGCAAATCGTGGGGCGAAATGCCGGAAAAACTCCCCGGGAAGGCCATCTGGGCCAGGGGTTTTCCTCGAGACAGAGAGAGCAGCGCTTTTCCGATTTCGGCTAGGGAGAAGGGGGCGCTGAGGCGTAGGAGTAAGGGGTTCGGGATGGAGGAGGGGGGAATATGTTGCCAGAAGGAAGAGTTCGGGGTAGCAGGGTTGCTCCCGCTATAGAGGGATTGGAAGAAGCTGGAGCACATGCTAGTCATGGTGGAGAGGTCTGACGTGGTCTGTCCGTTAGGTAGGGTCAGAGAGCTGATAATCGAGCCCTTGATTCACGAGTTGAGTCCGGAGAGGAGGGAGGAGACTCCCATTTCCCTATGCCCTTCCACTTTAAGTTTGGCCTTGAGCGCAATCTCGGAGGCTTTCGAGGCTTCGTATCTGGCCAGGTGGAGACGTGCTTGGTCGAGGCGGTCGGACTCGGCCCTGTCCAGGGGTGTGTAGGCTGCTTGCCGTTGTAACGAGCCGATGATGAGTTCCAGATGTGCAGTCGTGTCGTCGACGCGGCGTCTCTCCTGGTTGGAGAAGCGCTTGAGGTTCAGTATGAGGTCGAGCTTCCAGCTGTCCCAGGAGTCCGGGGACGGGGATGAGGGGAAGACCGTAAGGGCGGAGTCGATGATTTGTGCAACATGTGTCAGAATGTTATTATCTAGCCTGTAGTGGGGTGCTCTATAGCGAGTACAACCCAGTTAGGGTTTGCTATATGTACCCCAACTGCTGCTAGTGAAACCACTCTTTCGTCATTCTTCTTTTACACTCTTGTAGACTTTGACATGCTATCAGAGCAGGTCGACCTCCTTGGGTCGATCCTGTGGGTGGGCCCGCCACCTAACTGCTTCCGCTGCTGTTCTGCTTCTCGCGCGCCTCGGGCGCGCGCCGTCTTCTTCCTGCCGCGCGCGAAAATTTTTAGGGTTTTTCATCCCGCCGTGCGCTCGGGGCGTGCGGCGGTTTTCTGCCCGCCGTGCGCCCCGAGGCGCGCGGCG